GAGAGGTCTGCTGCACCATGTGGGCCAGCTCCCTGGCCAAGGATTGAACTTGTGCTGCAGTGGCTGCACAATCTTCATGGTGCTTAACCCCTGGCAACACCAGGGACGCCCCTAAACCTACATGTTTAAAGAAATTGTTTCTTAAACCTCTTTTCAATGTAAAGAATTTGCATAAGTCTAAATTACCATGTATTACGTTTACCTGAAGAGATGTACATATATTTTGGTGCTGTAATGAGAAGATACTTTTCCCACTTAAAAATTTCCATTTCACGGTCAGATAAATTCTGATTAGATTTTTAAGTGTGTGGTGAGATTTAATCTCAGTCCTAGTCTTTTTATATTTTTATAAGTATTTTTATAAAGAAACATGATCTTTATATGCTTAAAATGATCATTGCCAGTTAGCTTTCCTACAGAATAGCAAATGTAATAATAGACACAAGAGTACATGTTGGGATAAATAATTTCTTTTTCTATCTCTTGCTTAAGTTGTCATTGCTGTTATTTGTATTATTTTCTATCAGAAGTTTTATTGTAGAACCTAAGCAAGCATTATTGAAAGTATATGAGGAAATACCCAAAGAAAGCATAGGATAAAGTTACTTTACATTTTTCTGACCAAATTATTCAAACTAATTACTGGCATCCTAAGTACTATCCAAGATAGAATAATGTAGTAATTCTTGAACCAGCTGAAAATAATAAGTCCTCAATATTGGGAAAAAGTGGTAGGAAAGTATCTCATACACCCTGAACTATGTAGTTGAAAAAGGAGACTTTTAGATTTGTTGAAGTACACCGATAGACAAAATTATAATACCCACATAAAGGCTTCAGGTAGTATTTTAAAAATAATTCTTAACAGAATTATTAATGATGAGAACACAAGTCAGATGCAGATTTGACTTTGCATGTTAAATTCAAAGAAACTGTTTTTGATGAAGCATTTTATTATTACTACTTTTTTCAGAAGTATGCATAGAACTGAGGTATAAGCTGGGGTGGGGTGGAGGTGGTGAGAGGATTCACCAGAGACAGAGTGGAGAGCAGGACAGGTAGACTCACTGAAATATACTGTTAAGGAGAGCAGCGGGCAAGACAGGAGAGGTCTGCTGTGGCTTATGTGGGTTGGCTCGCTGGCTGGGGATCAAACTCAGGCTGCAGTAATGGTTAGTCCTGAAACTACACCACAAGAGAGGCTCTGATGAAACATTTTAGATGGAATACTGAATAGTCTAAAATTGAAATTTGATAGGTTAAATTTTTTTTTTAAAGATTTATGTATTTATTCGTACAGAACTGGGGTACAGGCCAGAGATATGGAGGGTGAGAGGATTCACCAGAGACAGAGAGGGGAGCAGAACAGGTAGATCGACGAAGTATACTGCTGAGGGGAGCAGCAGGCTGGTCAGGAGAGGTCTGCCACTCCATGTGGTCACCTTGGGCAGGGGGGGATCGAACTCATGCGGAAGTGGCTTAAGCTTCTTGGTGCTGTGCTTTAACCTGCTGCGCCACCAGGGAGGGCCCTGATAGGTTAATTTTTAATAATAAACAATGATTAGAAAGACTGCCGATACACATATAAATAACCAAATAAACTCAGAAAATAATAATGATTTAATTGAGAGCTGTGACCATACCTGAGATAGTTAACCTATTTCTGTGCACTGAAGTCCAAAAGTAAAAAATAAAGGTCAGTTTGTCAATGATTTTATCTGTGATTGAATTTCATTTTTTGCCTAATTAAACATTGTATTTCAGAACCTTAACTTTCTTTAGTCATTTTCTTCATGTTTTCTTTACCTTAGAACTTTTGCACCAGTGTGGGATGTATTCAAAACATCTACGGAAAAATTAGCAAATTGTCATTTGGATCTTGTTAGAAAATTGCAAGAATTAATAAAAGAAGTTCAGAAGTATGGAGAAGAACAAGTAAAATCTCATAAAAAGGTATCATTTTTTTTTCTTGCCAAAGGATTAATGTTCAAATATTGAGTGTTCTAAATTCAGTGATTTTGATGAATCATTTTATGCCAAACAGACTAAAGAAGAGGTTGCAGGAACTCTGGAGGCTGTCCAAACCATCCAGAGCATAACTCAGGCTCTCCAGAAATCCAAGGAAAATTACAATGCCAAGTGTGTAGAACAGGAACGTTTGAAAAAGGAAGGAGCTACACAAAGAGAAGTCGATAAGGTAATTGGAATAAAAATGTCTTTATGGTTTCAAAGCACTTACACTGCGTTTAATCTTCAAGCACTCAAGAATGATTTCATATTAAAGATGAGTGGTTGTGGTTTATTAAAGTGAAACATAGGTACATTTGCAAAATACATTGTGGATGGTAAATAGATTGACAAGTACATAAAATGGAATAATTTCTTTTTTATGTCATTGGCACCTTTGCTGGCTGTTTTTGTAAGATGAGATTGAACAATGAGGTAAAATTTTTTAATGAAGCAACACTTTGGTATATCTAGAAAGGCATAGAAACTTGAAGATAAGCTTTAAATATCTGTTGTGGGTGATTTATCAGTGACTTAGAACACATTTATGTACTAGTGTGGTAAACCACAACCCTTTTTTCCACTTGCTTTTATTGAAACTTAGGCTCCTCACCCCACCTCCCCCTTTCAAATCATTTTAAACTAACCATTCACTTGTTTGATGTGGCATATTTCATTTAGGAATGAAGCATAGGAAGTGAAAGCTTTTTACCATAATGTAATTCTTAAAACATTTGAAATATCCAATAAAATAAAAACAAGTTGTAACTATATTACTATTTTAAAAATTATAGAAATGTGTATACATGGGCAAAAACTAGAAGACTGGAAAAATCAGTCATTGATGGAATAAGGGTGATATTTCCTTTAATGTTTGTGCAGTAAATCAAAATTGGGAGATGGAAAGAGATGAGGCACAGTAAGTAACAATTTAAAAACATTGTGTTCCATCACTTATGAATAAACTATGAAAAGGGAAAACAAAACAACGTAACAGGTTCCAAAAAAGAGCATTATCTCAGTGAATCAGAAATGGAACAGAAATCCAAAGTAGCATGTAGAGATTAATTATGTAGGCTTGCTGGACTCAAAGTTCAAGTTAAGCAAAGAATTTCTCTCTTATGTGGAACATTTAGTTCCCTACTCACTGCTTAAGTGAAACAGAAGTATGCAAAATATGTTTTTATTGCAATAGTTCTGATTGTTGTCTGATTGAAACTACAGGTAGGGAGAGAAAGATGGATTGCTAAGTAGGCCTTAAGTTATTGGAAGTTGGGAACATAGGAACATAATTCTGACTGAAATTAAGCCTAAGAACTCATTTATGGCTACCCATTTTGGACCATTTGAGGAAATAGTAGTTATGATCACTGTTTGGAAATTTTTATTTGTGACATCATGGTAAAATAAAGAACATGTAAGCACCAGTGTCCGGAAGAAAATATGGAGATAAAATGGAGTACTTTTAAGAAATGCTGTGTTAATAGTGTTGTTGATGACTTTGTGATTAAGGGGCACTAGATCTTAACAATTCTCAAACAGGAAAGTAATTGTCACAATCTGAAATGAAGATTTGAGTATTTCAAAAAATCATTTTCCTTTGTAACTTTAAAATTTGAATATATTTAGTGTATATATATGAGTATAAGTATAAGGTGTACAGTGTGTTACTTTGATACCTTTATATGTTGTATATATTCTTTGTCACATGGATTAGATTGTGGAGCTTTTTTTATTGCTCACTACAAGTTTGTACCTTTGAACATCAGTCTTTCCACCTTCCATTTGTTGATTGCCACTATCTTTACTTTGTTTATTATGAGTGTAATCTTTTTATTTCATGCATATGTGAGATTATGCAGTGGCTGTCTTTGACTTATCTCAGCATAGTGTGGTCAGGGTTGATGTCATATGTTGCAAAAGCAAGAATTCTTCTTTCTCACGACTGAATAATATTCCTGTATATGACACATTCTTTATATACATTTATCTATTGATAGACATATAGGTTATTTTCCTATCTTGTATATTATAAATAATGCTGAAGTAATGAGTAGAGTGTTATCTATCCTCATTTTTTTTGGGTATGTACCTAATAGTGCAATAGCTGGATCATATGGCACTTCTATTTTTAATTTTTTGAGGAACCCTCATATTGTCTTCCATAGTGCTTAAAACAATTTACATTCCCACCACCAGCATCTGCTGTCTCCTGTTTCTTGATGATAGCCACTCTAATGAGAGTGAAGTGATATCACATAAGTTGTGTAATTTCTTTATATGTTTGGATATTAAACTCTTACTCGATATGGTTTATAAAAATTTTCTTTCATTCTGTAGGTTGTCTTCTCATTTTATTGTTTCCTTTGCTATGTAGAAATTTTTCAGTTTGATATAGTTTTATTTGTTGATTTTTGCTTTTGTTGTTTATGCTCTTTTTTCGCCTTACTATTATGTGTAATTTGAGAGTGATTTTAGAATAGGGGTCTATAGGGTTCTTTTACTAAGTATAAAATAAAGATTTTCATTGATGAAGCCAGCCTTTTATGGTTTACTTGACAGAATTTTTTTCTGTTTTAGTGGTACACAAGATAACGGTCTACTTTATGACTTAATGGTAGTAGTAAAGTATGTACATTAAGCAAACAAATAGAAATAGAATCTATATTTTTCCAAGTCAGAAAAAAAAAGAATATTATGATTTAATGATAAGAAAAGAGGAAGAAGGAAATAGAAAAGCAAAGAAAAAGAATAGTAGGTAGAAAACTCAAAATGCATTGGAAAAAATAAATCCAATACGCTGGTAAATATAATGCATGTAAAGAAACGTACATTAGACTTCTCTAATAATTGTCAAATTGAAAAAAATTATATGAATCAATCTTATTCTTTAGCAAAAGGAGACTATTTCACTTAATGGGATGTTATGCAGCAGTACAAGTGGACTCTAGGGTAAAGTCATATATCTAATGTTTTAAATACTTTAGGAAAATAGTATTGGAGAGTGAAGAATGGATGTATTTTTGAAGTCTAGGTGATGGATTTTGGGGTTTATTGTACTTCTTTTGTGTGCTGTAGGGTTTATATTATAAAACTAAAAAAATATGAGCTAAAATGACTTGGATTAGCATGATAAAAAGCATAATATTGCGTAAGCAAAGGTCTAAAAGGATGTTTAGGTTTTGATGCCTCTTATGTGATCTTTAATTCTGTACAAAAAATTGTTTATGTACAAGTAAATATGTATTAGGGACATGTATGGGAAAATTAAATCCTAAGTTACAATATGGGAATACCTTTGCATAGCAAGTGATGGGAATAGGACTAGGAAGGATATGGTGTCTCATTTTTCTGTGTTTAATTTTACTGTTTAATTTCCCCCCAAAATAAAAATACAGGAATATATATATACTGTTCAAAATAAAAGAAATACTTTTATGAGCTATAGTGAACATTTATTTATAATACATATACACATTAAGCAGTGAATTGGTATTGTTTCCATATCATTAATACAAAAGTCTGCTGTCTAAATTGGTTAAGACTTTCCAGAGAGGTTCTGTATTCCTGGGTTAAAAAAACTGGTTTTTCAGATGATCAAAATGGAAGAAGTTGTGGTATCTAACTGATTTGGGTTCCAATTTTTGCTTCACTACTTAGTGTTGATATAAAAAAAAAACCACACACACAAAAAAACCAAATAAAAAAAACTGGTTTTTATGAAACCTAAATGGGCTGAACATAGTAGTACTTAGTATATGATGATTGCTTGAAAAAATACTATGTTTACTAGGGATAGCAGTTAATGAAGTGGTTATCTGAGTCTTTTCACATAAATAGGTTTAATTTAATGTACGGAAATTATTTAGATGAAAATTAAGGATTTCTTTTTGATTAACTCATTGGGCACATATAACTGGTTATGTCCAAGTGTTTTGCGTTAGTGACTGAAATTCAGTCATTGATGGGATGGATAACTCAGAAAGAGGATTTTTTTCTGATTGTTCTGCTCAGAGTTGGTATCTTTGTTTCTCATATTAGATATGTTAATGGACTTCTTGTTTTATATATTCTAGCCCAAGTCTAAGTATATAATTTATTTTGGTTTGTAAAATAAGATCCTTTCTATTATCATGAATATAGATTTTTTTAAAACATAAAGATCTATGAGCCAACAAAAATTAAGGCTATCGTGATATAGTTTGCTTTTCATCCTCACTTACGAATCCTTGTTTTTATAAAATACCTTTAGAAGGCATTTATTTGTAGATAGTGATTAAGTACTTATTTTATATTTCTGTATTTGCCTCTTAGGATTGTACAGCAAAAATTTATAGGTACCTAAACATTTCTGCTATGTTAGGGAAGTGGATAAAATATAGGATTATCAGTAGGTAATCTCTTAAAGCCAGTTTTTTTCTTTATGAGAAAAAATAAAGCTACTTTAAAGCACAATTTCCTCATCTGGGAACAGATACTGTAATTTCTCTTTTTAATAATGACTGTAGTGAAGGGGTCAAGTTTGTCACCAGTAGGATATTCAGTTTTCAAAATTCTGCTTAAGAATTTACAATTTTACTAAGCATATATACAATTTAGAAACTTGCTTTAATAATAAATACTGCAGTTAATTTCCTGTGGGAGATGTCTCTTGAGCCATCAGAAAATACAGACCATTCCAATACAGTTACATTCTAAAGTTTTCTCTGTATCCTTTCATATGACACCTTTATTTTTCTTTGCACTTGTTTTTGCCATTACTTAAAACACCTTGTGAATCCACAGTTTCTGTTTAATTTTATTCCTTTATTACTAAGATGCCTTTTAAAGTTGGTATGTAATTTCCTTACGATTCTGGCATATAAAACTTCTTCAAATTGTATAATGTTAAGTGTAATGATCATTTTTATATTCTAAAATATGTCATAGGTTTTCTAAGAGGGATAATGTTTCTCTAGGCAGGAATTAATTATTTCTGATGTGTTACAAATCATTGTGAGTTGGAAACCATCATTGTCGACAACATAGAATGTGTTTATTGGAAAGAAATCATTTTCTCAAAATACTGTGAGTTTTCCTGTCAATTAATATAGTATAAATTAATTTTCAATGTAGACTGTAGACTAGATTCTTATCTTTTTCAATGATTAGTTAAAATATTTTTCTGAAAACCCGCGGGTATTACAATCGAGATGGGAAAAAAAATGTGCAAAATGATGTAAAAATAAACTTTTGTAATAAAATAAAAAAAATAAAAAAATATTTTTCTGATTGTTGGGTTATGAAGTGATAGTTTGTATGTAATAGAAAATAAATGTTTTTCTATCATGTATTTATTAATGTGTTAGACGTTAAGAAGATTATTAAAAGCTAAGTACATATGATCTCTTCCTCTGATAATCTTTCTCTTGGGAGAATTGAGATGTATTGAATAGTACAGGACAAGAGGTTAGAGAAAGGTTTTAATGGTGTAAGTGTCTTATTTTGTACAGAATATGTAAAAAGTAAACAAGAAGATCCTATTCAATACATTACTTTTAAAAGTGACAATAATTTTTTGGGGGGGTATTTTCAGGTTTTATGAATTTCTTTTCAAATTGCAGTTACCTCTAGGATTGGTAACTCGGTCTTTTTGAATAACTGACAAACATTACTAGACAGTTAGGCAGCAGAGAAAGAGTAGATGTTGGGATAAGTAACAAGCAAAGGAGGGGCTACTAGGCTATATCATTAAAAATCACTTTAGGGACTGTAGGTTACTGATAACTTGTACACCCTGAACATGTTGTTAATTGGAAGAAGAAACTAAAATCTCTTGACATAAAAATCTCAGAAGGGAACCCAGGTAACCATTAAATGTTTGTAAAATAAATTCTGGCAGCTTTTCTGGATTTTTTGATTGTCTGGATTTCGTGTGAAGATACTTAATAAGCTATAAATAAATATCTATCTCATTTAATTGTTATGTGTTTGAACAGAGCCAGGATGTTTGAGGAAGCACAGTAGCAGTGGTATAAAATACTGTCCAATGGCCAGACAATAAGAAAAGAATAAAATGGAAAAAAAAATTCATTGGAATAAATTAGAAAATCATTAGTATATATGGTTAGCTACTTGTTACAAGGATTGAGAGCTTAGTAGAACTCAGTTATATCTTTAATAGCAAAATACAATAAAGTATGTTCCACTTAGAAACCATAATATAAGCAGGTACCACTTGTGTTGTTGATTTAATTATATGCCAGTCTGTCCCAAGCATTTTACATAAATGACATTTCAATACTGCCAAAGCTCTAAAAATAGAAGGCATTGATTCTGTTTTAGGAACAAGGAAACTATATACAGCCGAGAGACAAGGTCAAATGAGTAAGTAGTAAGTGGCAGACCAGAATTTGAATCTAGTTTCTTTTTTAATGTTTTCTAATATTTTAGTTTTTACTTTTGGACAACATATGAGTTTTTTTTTGCCTCGGGCGTGGTCATCACCATAGTTCTCCTACCACTAAAGCACCTGTAATCCATCACTATATTCCCTTTGCTTTCCCGCCTCTCTGGTTTCAACCCTCACCATTCCCTCATGGCTGCCTTATATTTATGGTCAGCTTTTAAGGCTTGTCTGTATCTGATCCTTTATTTAGTTCTTCTGTATTCCACATAAAAGTGAAACCTTCTGATTTCTTAAGACTTCAAACCAGTTTTCTTTACACTATAAGTTAGCGTGGCTTCCTGTAGTCTTTATTTAAGAAGGCAAGAATGCATAGAATATATGTATTTAATGAATATTTGCAGGTATATTTTAGAGAGTACAGAGTTATCTTTTAAGAGAGGATGGTATGCATTTCTAGACAGTCCCAAACTTTCAAGTAAACCATATTTTCTGTTTCAAGTATTTATTCATAGACTCTTGAACATAACTTGAAATAATTGCATATTAATTCTGATTGACTCTACACAAATTCCGTGTTTTCCAGCTTTACTTGGCCTTCAGTGGCTCCTAGTACTGAACGTGCTTATTACTTACTACATTCTCCACCACTGCAGTTTGAAGTTTCATTTTCTTTAAGCTTCACACTCTACCCTACACTTTGATCTTAGTAGACCATCTTTTACTTCATCAAGAAAATGGCTATCTTTATATTTTAAAATCCTGTACTTTTTCATTATCTTTGAACTCTTATTTACTTAAACACTTTCTCTCCCACAATTCCTTATTGTTCAAATTGATCAGTCCTTTGAGAATAGTCGTTTTTTTTTTTTTTTAGTCAAGCCATGTGTCTGCCTCCACCCACACATTACTCATCATCTTTCCATTTCCTAAATGTCTAGCTTTAATAGAATTAATCTTGACTTATGTGATTCTGTCACTTTCCACCAATTTGTGGCTGTTAATGTATAGATTATATTTCTTTTATGAAGTCGTTGAAGAAAAGAACCCTATATAATTTGTCTTCTTGTTCCTTACTGCCTAATATTTATTAAGTTGTTTTAAATAAGTAGCTAGTGGAACAAACTAAAATAACGCAGTAACAGTTTTTTAAAAATAGGAATCTTGGAAAACTAGGCAGTGAATAAAAATGGTAGGTTTACTGTAGTGTAATGGAAATAGAAGTGACAAGGAAAACCAACTTAGTCAGTTGCTGAACTAGCTTTACTTGCTGATCTGGTATTAAATGTAATATGTGTATGTTGTGAGGAGAAGGAAGGAAGACTCACAATTGTAGAAGTGTCACACTTTGCACAGTAAAGTTTTAATGGCACTGTACTATTAGAATGTTTAAATTTTAATGTGGATTATAGAGTGAGAGCATTTTAACTCTCAAAGTAAAATCTGTCAGAAGATTTGGCATTTAATTTTTGCATTACTGTGATTTTAACAAAAAATATTGCTAACGAAGATTTGAAAAAAAAAAAAAACGTTCAAGTTGGTTTATGCCATATGGAACTCAGCATGGTTCTCATGTTTTAAAATGCATTTTTATTTATTATTTCACATTAATACACTAACATGTCAGAGAAAAGGTGGTTGTTAATTTAAACTTTTTTTTTTTTACAGGCAGCCGTTAAATCTAAGAAAGCTACAGATACCTATAAACTCTATGTGGAAAAATATGCATTAGCAAAAGCTGATTTTGAACAGAAAATGACAGAAACAGCTCAGGTTAGTATTTTTAAAAAGCCATATCTGAGATAATATCTGTGCTTACTGATAAAGAATATGTTCTGCCATATAGCTTTTTAGTATCATTTTTGTTTGTTTGTTTGTCTTTGAGTAGGACTGGGCTGTAGGCCAGAATTGTGTGGGTGAGAGGATTTACCAGAGACGGAGTGGAGAGCAAAAGCAGGCAGATTTTACTGAAATACACTGCTAAGGGGTTCGAACTCAGACTGTAGTGGTGATGGCATTGAGACTTAACCTCTAGATATCTATGTACGCCCAGTATTAGAAACATTCAAATGCCATGATCTCAATGTTTTCAATACTGTTTTGAAAATACACATCTTGTTTTGGAGGTTGAATACCAGATGCTGTACTTATATCATAATTATAAAAAATTATAAGCAACTATTCAGGTAGATCAGAAGAGTCTGTTTAAATAAAAAGAATTGGAAAAAAACGAGGAAAGTAGTAGGTGGTGAACAAAGTATTAATTGGCATCATTATGTATGGATTTAAAAATTGACTTCTTGGGCCCTCCCTGGTGGTGCAGTGGGTGAAAGCACAACACTGTGAAGCTAGCTGCAGCCACTTGAGCAAGTTGGATTTCTGACCAGGGAGGTGACCCACATGGTGTGGGCAGACCTCTTCTGTCTCACCTACTGCTCCCCTCAGCAGTGTACTTTGTCAGTCTGCCTGTCCTACTCCCCACTTTGTCTCTGGTGAATCCTCTCACCACCCCTGCATCTCTGGCCTGTACTGAGTTCTGTATGCATAAATAAATAAATCTTAAAAAAAAAAAGAATGTCATGGCATCTGGCAAATGATGTTTCAGAAGGATTTTGTTAATTGTATTAAGTAAGGCTCCAATTCAGGTGAAATCCTGTTCACCTTCTGTATTGGAGTCCACTGTAGATTTCAGCAAGTACTCTTTTGTCTTTTAAAAGGAACATTTGTTTATAAAGCAGTTATTACTAGTATGTTAATTTTGCAACAAAATGAATAGTTTCTATTAGTAAAGTTGTTTAGGTTTCAGTAACTTGATTTGAACAAAGAAAAATTAGAATTTGTTAGAGTAAGGGTTCTTTGTCAGATTATTTGAATTTTTAGGTTTTTTTCTTTCAGTTTCCTTGTTACATTTTTTTCTCACATTGGCATTTCATTTGCTTCTCCTGCTTTTCCCAAGATGAGAACATTAATTTTTTTAACTGATGTGTAACTGTGCTGCTTTTAAGTACAGATGGTAGCATAACATGCT